GTCGTCTTTCTCATACCAAACCTTCCTTCTTTTTCTCTCAAAAAGATATTACTATTCTCGACATGTCTTCAAAAATCGCTGTATCTACAGATCATGATTGATGCTGGCTGTCGAAAACAAAACCTAATTAAACACGTCTCATGTCCTCCCTTCTTCCGAAGCTTCCAAAATTCAGATCCAAGCACGGGATGCGTTTCTCGGGTCCAAAGATGAAAACGATTTGTACATGTCTTTCCGCTGGGCTTCTCAAATCTGCACATAAAGAATTTATGGTTGAGCAGCCAGAAAAACACGAAAAACACGAAAAACACTTCAGACAACTTTATGATGGTCGTCCGTCGAGCTTTCCTCTCTGCTCAGACCTCTTCCATACACAATCATGCCTTCCTCTGCTTCTTGAACAAAAGACTGCTACAAAATGTTTGTATGTCTTCCAAAAAGCACTGGTTTCGCTTCAATGACCAGTCCTAGCTGTCCACAAAAAAACGCTCAGGCCGTCCCCATGGGTTTCCGCTCTTCCGATTTCCAAACCAACTTAAAGATCCGCTATGCTTTCTCCGGGTCGAAAGCTGGTATCGTCGTTCTCGTCTCCGGTATTTGCGAATATTCGCACACATTTTACATGGTTGCGCAGCCACAAACAGAGCGGCCAGAATCGATGGCTATCTTGTGTTATGCTTCCTTCCTGCTCAAGCTTCTCTATCATACCAACATTTCGTCCTCTTCTTTCCAAAAAGAAGAAGTTGGATACATTATGTCTTCCAAAAAGCACAAGAATTTGCGTTATGATCAGTGCTAGTTGTCCAAAAATAAACACGACGTTCTCATGTGTTTGTGCGCTTCCGGTCTTCAAACATATACGTTGCTCCATCATGGTTTGTCGAGCCAAGATCTGCTATTGATACAACCTTATCAGTCTTTCTGCTGGACTATCTGAAATTTCACCGCTACCGTTCCATGGCTGCGCAGTCAAAAAAGACAGCCTCATGATCGATGGCGGTTCTCTGCCGCGCCTCGCCTTGTTCAATAAAATCCGACCCTTATACGCTTCTATATGTGCATCTCGGGCTTTTTTGCCCCACTAAAACAAGCTTCAAAGCATTCGATGTCTGCCTCTCCGGCCTTTACGACACTTGGGCATTTCTTCAAAAGTCCAGTTCACTATGCGCATGGAGTTCCGAAATCGGTACAAACTCATGCGTATGAGTTCAGAGTCGAGAGCGTCGAGGCATATGATCATCAAAACCGACTTGTCAAAAGTGTCAGACAAGAGGCCCATGGTGTCTGTGTCTCCTGTACGATGCTACATACACGTCTTCCGACCTGTCCTCCTCGTGGGGTATAAAAATATACTGGACGCCTTCCCAGTCCTTCTCCTTCTATTATATCTACTCCGGCTTTTTCCTAAAACTTCGTCGCGTTAATTTTATGAAACCAAAATCGTCAAACCAGCACGAGCATGTCTGGTGCGCTGGGTGCTCCGACACGCCAACAATTAGCACTTTGTGTCCAAAACATGTTTCAAAATCTTCATGACCCAAAGTCGTTGGCGTAACGACTTACTTCGTTTCGAGGAATTGCGCAGACTCAAAGCTGTCATCACGAAAGTCATGTCTGGCTGGAGGACTAAAAGACATCTTCTACTTCCTCTCCGACCTTCTTCTCTTCACAACACTCAAAACATTTGTTTTCCAAAGGCTACAGAACATCCATTGATGTGTTTGTCGAGCCAAGGAAAAAAATGAGTGACAACATGCCCATGGTCTCCTCCGAGTCTAAAAAAGAAGTGGGCAATGTAATGTCTTCCGCCTTGTCCTCACACAAAATCGACAAACACCAATCGATGGCTTCCGCGAGTCTTATCCACTCAAAGACACACCAAAGACCGAACACAACGCTAGCCGCGAGGTCGTATAAAAGGCTCTTCTACCCAGCGTTGATAACCTACCCTCCAACTTCTCCGGGGATATTTCCAAGATATCCAAAAACCGATACTATCATGACATGAACGAAAGCGAGAAGTGAAGGAATCATGTGCATTTTGCGCGACTTCCAAAGCTACTCAAAACAGTTGTCGACTCCTGAGATGTGTGGACGAAGTCTGCTTTCAAAAACCAAAGACGGCATCACGATGGTTCTTTGCCTGCTCTGTCAAAAAACGTTGTTGAGACAATTGAATGTCTGAAAAGCTCGGCTGTGCCAAAATCCACTGAACCATAACGCGATGAGTTCGAGACAAAGAGCAGCTCCAAAACCTTAAAGCATTGATGCACACGTGAATGAAAAGCACGAAGGACCGGCATATAAAAGTCTCTGAGTTTTGCCTGAGACTGCTTCTCTTCTTATCAACACCAGAAAGCTTGATTTTTCTTCTCTTTTACCAAAAGGTGAAGATCAACACCGGATGGAGTGAGATTGAGAGAGTTTCGAAAAACGATGAAGAACCCGTCATGTCCGGCGGACGACGTCTCTCTCTCCGTCATACAAACGTGTCTCGAGCCTGTCGCTGCTATTCTCGATGATGATGATGATGATGATGATGATGATCATCATCATCATCATCCGCCATTTCTCCTGCACTTCCGTTGAGCAGTCCAATAGCTACCACTCCGCAGTCCGATATGCCATCGATCTAAGAATTCTGAACTTGAGGTCCATGTATAGGCTTTAGAACGCGTCAGTAGATATATGGGAAGCTGCCATGCCGAAGTGCATCGCAGATGTAGGCCAGATTTCAATACTCCTATGGCGTGTGGGAGCTTTTGGCACTTGCTGAACAAGCTTGGCCGATATGTGGAATGCCACCGCAGGTTGCTGTCCAGATGTCATGTAGAATGTGATCAGTAACTCTTGCTCGCACTCCCCTCGAACGCCAGAATCAGGGCTGTCATCACCACAAAACCATCACCTTAAGAAACAGTACACACGCAAAGACAAACCAAGAATTAAGTAATCTCATTTCTCGCCCATGCATATCCACCTATAATAAGCCTGTAACCCTCCCAGCGCCAATCAATATCAAAAGAAGCTTGCCATGTATGCATAGCCACCCAGCTTTTGCCCTTTGTAAAACTCCGAGGCTCATGAAGAACGAGAAAACAGGAACAGAAACATGGGAGTGAGGATATATTCGTTCGACGTTGTGTCCGGCCACTGAGAGCTAGGGAACTCGAGAGACATGGGCCGCACGATCCCTCCCGCTACGGGGATGAAGCAAGCAAGCCGTGATGCTGCTACGTTTCTCGAGCATGAGAATGCTGGGAAGGATCGCGGACGTGCGAACGAGATATCGTGTTGTGTTGGTCACTCAGGGTCGAATCGACGCAAGATAGAACCTCTGATGGCGAAACAACTTATAAATCGACTTTCGAGGACGTGAAGTCCCAGAGCATCTTGACTAGGGAATCGGGTAGGGTGTAGAGGTCGACGTGGAACTCGCCATCTATCATTTGTTAGCACGTGCTTTGCAATGGGAGATGAAGGAAACCTACTCTCGACGTCATTCTTAGTGTACGTCTCGCTGGTCTTGTTGTCGTGGACCAAGGTGACTACGTGCAGCAGGTCATCCTCACCCAGCTTCTGCAGTCCATCGGCCAGCTTCTCCATGTCTACGTTCTTGTCTCTCCGGCCCTTCTTCTTGGCGGCGTCCTTGTTGCGCATGCCGTTGGCCTCGGCGGGACCAGACTCGGCGAGGAGGGCGAGAAGCTCAGGCTTGGGGTTGCGGAAAGTCTGCAATGGCGGGTTAGCAATGTTCTGGCTGATGAACAGCACGCGTATGTGGTACTTACAACTTGGTGCTTGGCCTCATAACGCTCCGACTGGAAGTTGAGGTCGTGCTCGAGGGTGTGATCACCGCCCTTGCCAACAGCGGACAAGACAATGCTCATGTCGAACTCACCCCAACCCTTCTCATCGATGCGGAACGGCGGCTTCTTGATGACTTTTGGCATGTTAGTGGGAATGCTTGCTGACGGCATACTGCTGAGCGCAGTGTCGGGCGCACTTACTGTGCTTGTTCTTCTCGAATGAAGGATGCAGGTTGTAGACGGCCTTCTCGAAGACGCTGGGCATGACCTCGTTGCCCTGGTCATCCAGCAGCCAGACCTCTATGCTCCATGATCGCATGGGGTATCCCTCAACGGGCGAAGGCTCCGCGCTGTGAATGTGTATTAGCGGCTGGCGACGTGTAGACGCGTGAGATGGGCAAGCGCATGCGATTGCGCGCGGATTGTACGTACATGGGCTTCTGGTGAGTGATGAGCTTGACCCATCGCTTGACCTGCGCGGTTGTTAGCATTTGCGCGATGGTTCTGAGGGCATCTCGAAGCCGCAACTTACGTCAGGCATCTTGTCTGATTTGCGCCGCGAGGACTGCGTAGACGGGCTGCTGCGAGCGTGATTGGTTCCGGCCTGGCTGAAGAATATATACGCGAGGTATGCAGAGGCGGTTCACGTCGGGCGCGGTCTGGCGTGTCGGTCTCTTGCGACAAAGCCGGGGCGCGTGTAGTAAAGGCGTGGCTGGTCTCGGGTCGCGAGCTCTGATTTGGCGAGTTAACTGAGAGATGGTCGCGGGGCGGCGGAGACGGAGACTAGTTGCTCTGGCTTGGCGCAAACCATCAAGCTGTAAGAAAAGCTGCACGAGCACGGAAGCCTGCCTGACAGGGGACTAGCCTTCTGCCAGGTGAGAGACGTGATACGACATCGGCACACGTTTGCAATGCAGGTGAGACTACAGGCTATGCAGGGTCAATTTCGCGATTTCTCCAAAGTAAAGCCATCACTACGAAGTCGACGCATTTCGTGCCATCATGGTCTTGCATGGGGGGACGCCGTTGACTTCAGTAGTCGGGCCATTTAGTTACTATCTAGTTATGTGCAGGGTGTGGGTAATCTCTTCTACCACCATCTTATCATGCCGTCCCAATTCCTCATTCACTGTTCGTGCAATCCATCTTTTCGTATCTCATCCCGTCCTCCAAGCTGTTATTATCCGGCAGCATTTACTGCTCCGACTTGCCGAAAAGCGCCTCGTTCTCTTGCTGGGCCTTGATAAAGGCCTCCTTGAACTGGTTGGCATCTGACAGATGTAGTTAGTGCTCCGCTGCGCGGTTTCGTGCATCTGCTTGGACTCACTCTCGCTGTTGGCGAAACGGATGGCCAGGGTCTGAGCCTCGGGCTCGCCCTCGCTGACATCGGCCGCGGCGTTCCAGACCCAGCTGCGGTCGCTGCCGACGTTGGGCGACAGCTTCATGTCGGGAACAACTACGCATTTCTCAGTATCCGCTTTCATATCCGCCTTCCATGTATCATACCGTAGTGGTTGGCGCAGACCTTGAGGGTCTTGTCACGGCGCATGACGAGACGGGTCTTGCCATTCTCCTTGTGCTTCAGTAACCGGACGTCACCAGTGCCGCGCTCCTTCCACTCCCGCGATTCCCTGTCGAACTTGAACAGCTTGGCGCGCATCTTGAACACTTGCTCCTCGAGCTCCTCGTTGGTCTTGGTGTCGACCTTCTCGGTGAGGTGGACGACGGGCTGGAAGTCGACATCGGGCTCTTCGTTCTCGGGGTCCTCGTCCTATCACCTTGTCAGTATGTCCTCAAAAGCACTTAAGCACACACGTACCTCGCCCTTGGGCTTGGAAGCACCTGATGGCTCGTCGACATCGTCGGCCTCCTCCTTCTTGACCTTTGCGGGGCCGCCACCGAACATGGAGAAGACGTTGTCCTTTACTGCGGCCGCTGCCTCTGTCGCCTTCTCTGTGATGGGCTTGTCATCCTTGCTCTCTGTGGTGGTCTCGGGCTTGTCAGACGCCTTGTCGGTGGTGACCTTTGCGGTCTCGTCCTGAACAAGAGTCGCCGCAGGGTTGGCGATCTGCTCGGCGGCGGGGTCGGGCTTGGCTGCTTCAGACATCTTCTTCTATGAATGCGGAGTATTCGGGTCTGTGTGTAATAAGAAGAGAGCTGCGTTTGTGGGGGAGATGTCGTGTGTTTGTGGGTTCTTGTGTCAACAACTGCCTGTAAATTGGGAAGTGGGATGCCCCTCCAGAACGCGCTTTACCCGGTTCGGTTCAGGGGACGTGCCCGCCCAACGCGCCTTCACACCTGACGCAACGTGCACCCAACTAGTTCGTCCTATGTACATGATGAGTCAATGCGTAACTATGACAGTACGGAGCCAAGTACACGTGCGCATCTACAAGCTGCTGTAGATGCATCGTGGTATGAGATGAATTTGACAAGTCCTATAACTCCCAAGTTGTCCTACTGTCCACACCAGGTCCCAGGGGTATATCACTGCACCCTTGTGTCTGCCCTCCTGTCCGTATACGCCGCATAATCAAAACAAGACAGTGCAGAAAGTCACATGAGATCCTCCACTGCGTGCCGCCTTCCCATGTTCCCTAGACCGCCCCTCCCACCTTTGCACATGCCCAGCTCTGCCCCTCACCGCCTTCCTTTGCAGACAGTCCCGCCGCCGTCTCCATCTTGCACCTCACGCGAAGAGCATTCATCCTGGCCCTTTGCATCGCTGACGATGTCCGCACCGGTGCGGTCACCTTTCGCAACCCCATCCACGTAGCATCCGGTATCTGTCTTGCCCGATGAGCCTTCATCTCCAGTTGATGCTTAGTCTCCTGAAGTTGCTTGGAAGCGTAGAGATCAAACCCGGCCATGTATTCTTGCAGGTGCTGTGCAGCTACAGCGGAGACGTTGCGAAGGGTGTTTTGTGTATCCAATATGTTGGACATGGCGGTGTCGAGAAGTTGATCTAGCGTCGACTTGTTGTGTCCAAGCATCACCTCGAAGGATTGCCGCAAGAGAGGCTTTGAATGTGTGGCAATGCTGACATTGAACTTATCGAATCGATACTGCTGATCCAGGTCGACAATGTACTCGCCAGTGGTGGTCCGGTTGTAATGTGCTGGAACCTCTTGAGAGTGGCGAGAAACTTGAACCTGAAGTTGGGGTTTCTTCCGGTTCGAATTGAAGGATTTGGAAGGACGGAGTACAAACTGATGGTCTCCGGTGATCTGGATTTCGAAACCTCCAGCCTGACTGTTCTTCGCCTTTGGCTTCTGGGTAGCCTGCTTTGGCTGGGACGGTACGACAGTGAGGCCTCGAGCTTCGTGTACAAGGCTCGAGCGACATGAATCCGGGTAGCGAGCCGCAGTTGGAGACACTGACGCTACGGGCGTGATCGTTGTGGTGTTGCTTTGAATCTCTGAAATGGCTGGTGACACTGACCGCCCTTGGGACACTTTTTGGTACAGCATAGGGGTATAAGCCGCACCCATGAGAAGCGCAGGGATGAGGGCGAAGAGGACGAAAGCAGATGCTAGCAACTTTGCAGTTGGCCATGGTGAGCCCGTCTTCTTCGTAGACGTCTTGGTCTTGTCACTAAACCACGATTTGCGGGCTGTCGAGGCAGCCTTCGTGCCCCGTGCCTTCGCTAGATGAGGACTAATGAGTGCAAGATGGCGATTAAGCTGCGATGGCTCGAGTTGGTCGAACTGGTGGATATCGAGGGGCAGTACCTCCTTCAGCTCGTAATCAGTGTTCGGGTTGTCTCGCCCTTCTACGCATACCCGTAACGTCGTAGTGTTCTCATCAACGGAAGATCCAGCTCCGAAAGGATTGGTCTCAGCAAGTTCGATGCATGGGATTGTCTCGCGTTCGAATACTTCCTTGGCAGATGCAAGATCTTGTTTGTCAGCAGTGCTATCAAGGACGCTTGGGTGACAGAGGACCACAAGGTCTGGTCGATCTGAAGAGTGAGCAGACAGGCCGGAGCCGAACATGAGCTGTCGTCCATCTTCCATGATGGCGAGAACGTGCCTCTTCTCGCGCGACTTATGAATCTCCATTTTGGCACAACGATCAGCGTGCGGGACGGGGGCATAAGGCTCGATGTGACCGCGGACCATAACCGACTTCGAGGCGCTAGGGTAGGCAGCGAGCGCTGCGCAGATCTTAGAGGTGATGGTGCCCTCTGCCCATTTTCCACTACCAATATACAGTATTCGGTATGCGTCTGGGGTGGCGAGAGGGTCCTTGGACAAGGCTGCCTTGACCGACAATCTAATCTCTTTGCAGCCATAACGGTCGAACACCGGTGGTAGCTCGTCCGTATAACCTGCCGAGCTCTTGATGACGCTGCTTCCAAGGCTTACATCAGAACTGCCCGTGTCCTGCTCTTGGAGTACGAAATGCCTTGAGCTCATGCTCCCACTCAGGTATGGCGGAACCTCTGTCAAAGAGGAGTCTTCCCCAGATAGTATAGGGTGTACGTGGGTTTGCTGCTCTTGGGATTCGCCGTGCGAAGAGTATGTGCTATCTTGTAAGTGGTGCTCGCCGGCTTCGTATTCGACGTCGTCATCACTGAAATCGTCAGACGTGTCGTCGGGCGTGGGACCGTCGGTGGACGCGATCGACTCGGTGTGGGCTTCGTCGTCGGACATGTCCATGACGCCGTCGCCGAGCAGGTCATAACTGCTGTCGTCGAGAGAGCTGCCCGCCTCTTCTGGGGCTCGGCGCTGAGTCGACCTCATCATGAGCGTTTCAAGATCAAGCTTAGTGAGCGAGTGGGCCACCTGCACAGGGGGGAATTTGAGATCCTGAGAGGAGTTAGGCTCGCTGGAAGACATGTCAGCCTGTTTTCATGCGAAATCCAGTGTGACCAGAAGTTCAAAGCGATCCGAGTGTGGTGGAAGGAGAGAGGGGGGAACGGCCACGGTGAGGTTGTGGTGGGCACCAGGTGGACGCTGCCTAACTAGCTGCGGGCGAGGCGCGTATGGGGGCCTTCGGGAGGAAGTGGGGACCAGCGGGAGCAGGTGACAGCACATACCAGATTGCACACTGATAGCCTGATAAGTGAAGTGTAGGACTACCGAGATGCTGTCAGTGAATGCGAGAGACGAGCGACTGTTCAAACTGCTGCGAGTTGTGGTGACGACAAGGTGCTGATGGACGGTCGAGCTTAGGTGGGATGCGAATGGGGGTAACCCCGCATAGTCTCGTAGTAAGCGATAAGATACGGAACATGGTTCACATGTCCACAGCGGGCCACCTCATTCATTGAAACGGAACAGGCGCGCTGCAGTCTACATCAGCACAACAATAAGTCTTAGTAAGATGCTGATGCGATGTAGACTTCTGATCGATCTACTTCTATTATTCTTTCAAGAGGTTGATGTTCGACCTTCCCGCTGAATGGGGTGGGGCCGTCACCTAAAGCAAGTAGTCCCATGACCAAACAACGAGGGCATCATTCAAGAGCAGAGCTGTTTTCAACTTGTTCGTATTCGTTCTCATACACTGTGTCGCCAATGCGCAGAAAGTAAGTAAGCCTGCAACGACGCCAGCGTAGTCCTAATGCTCCATTGAAGGGCGGCCCAGCCCATATGCAATGCCAACACCTGACGCCTAACTGGAAAGAGGAGTAGATGCTAATGTTCCCGCAAAATGCTAGCCTGAAGCTGATAGAATATCACGCGAGAAGGAGAGATCATGGTCCGTCAGGCCCAGGTGATGCCCAGCCACCAGCCACTTCTACCCATTCCGTGAGGCAGGACCCTTCTTTGCCCTCTACGTCGACAATGTCCTGGTCGCATTTGCAGCGACAGCCGACACCGTTTTCCTTGACTGGGTCATATGACGCCCAGTACTTGTCTTCTTCCAGTCGCTCCTTCTCGTCGAGTGTCGTCTTCTCAAGATATGGCTCTCGGGCGAGTTGTCGCGCAGGTGCGTTGGCGGGACAATGTTGGATGGTCGTATGCCGGTATCCAAAGTCGCGGAAGTAGTGGATATCCTCAGGGCCAAGTAGTGCACCAACAGCTAGCGAGTGGATAGGCGCATCTCCCCATCTCTCCATCCAGAAGCCACCACTGCGATCCATCAGCTCGAAGAAGTCATTGTACTCCTTGCTGCGGAACCAATTCAGGTTCGCGATCTCGAAATTGCTCCAGAAATGGCACATGTTGTACGATTCGCCCTCCATGTTCTCAGGGTGGATTTCAGGCATGGCCTCTGTGCCGAACTCGGCATCCATTATATCCTGAGGAAAGAAGTTCTTCTTCGACTTGGGCTCTGTCTTAGGCGCCTTCTCGTCCTCCTCTTTCGGTTTCTCCACAAACATCTCCCACATGCCCTTGGAGGTCAGGTTGTTGTTACGCTTGTAGGCCGAGGCATATCGCCAGATGTTGGGGACGGTTTCTCGTAGCTCCTTCACCGCGATGGTGAAGCCATATGTCTTCTTGTTCCGGATCATGTGGATAAAGGGATCGTATGTGATGTCGCAGAAGTACTTGATCTCAGGCTCGAGGCGCCAGTACCAGTCGTACTTGGCGAGTAGTTCGTGTTGGTAGAATTTGCTGTCCGTGTCAGTGGCAATCAGAAGAAAGCATGCTAGGATACGCACCCCGAGTAGAACCTGCACATGTGATGGTAGCTCTCCATACCACCGTACATGATGGCCCTATCACCCTGCTTGGCGATGCCTTCCTTCGCAACATCGGGATCTACCCAGTCGGGGAAGCCCCATTGCTCGGGAGGGATCTTACCCCACTCCACTGGAGCACTGACATGAGCCAAGACCGTCTCCCTGAACGTCTCGTTGAAGTCTCCGTCGTTGAGGAAGACGTATGGGTAGTGGAACCACCGATTGAAATGTCTCTCAATTGACTTGACCGACTGTATGACACCATCCAACTCCTTGTTTCTCGCGAGGACTACGAATGCAGCGTTTGCTCGGGGTCCGTTGACCTGCGGCTCGAGGCAGCCTACTGCGAAGGGCTTATCGTACTTCTCGCTTATCCGTCTGCGCATTGTTAGATGTTGTTTGGATACTGAGGTGATGAGATTCCACGTACCTTATCGAGGGAGGGCCGCCGGCGGGCATGTTCATAATGCCCTGCGAGTCTGGAGACTTTACGAACAGAATTATGATTATTATTATAACGAGACATGGAAACAACAGCACCAGGCCCAGAGGTATCGACACGGATGAACTCCCCTTCAGCCGTATCCTGCGTCGAAAGAAGGACAACCGTGGGGAGTTCTTTTCGGCGCGGCGCGGTAGGTCGTCCAGCTTGTCTAGATTGTCCTTCGAGGTCGGTAGCCTCCTCGTCATATCTTGCAGGAAGCCCATGGTGGTGCCCAAGTGGTGGCGTGTCTGGTATGCGATTTTCTGCCAATGGCAGCCCTATTGCTCTTTGGCCCAGTCGCAAGTGGTGCGGAGCGAATTCGAGGGGTCTAGAGGACGTCGAATGAATGCGACGGTTGTGGATGAGGAAAGGGCGACGTGTTCAACCCAAGGAGCTTGGTCGATAACGAGCGTGTGGGTCGTGACTTCAGGTGGGTGTACGAGAACAGAGATGGGTCGGCGATTGGCGTGACGGGCTCAAGCTTGTAACCCTGAGGGAGTGAAAGGAGAGAACAGGGTCGTTGAATGTAAATTATTAGCGGCCGATGATTGCGTATGCGTTTCGAGATCTGCTAGTTGACATGTTCCCTGTCGGCGGAACGCGCCAAGCCCTTTAGCACGCATGCCGATAGCAGGTGCAGCGGACCAATACGTTTCGGGATGGGCTTTCACCCGCCATATCTAGGCACCAGACTAGACATCTCGATGGAGTGAATTCTCTCTGGAACCAAGAGTAGACGGCAAGTGCATCGTAAACTATCCGCAGCTAGGGCGGCGAAGGAGCCGCACGGAAACCCGCCGCTAAGCGATCGACACGACATTCAGCCAAACGACTAATCTAGACCCTTACGTGCATGCCGTGTCAGCACATCCCTTGCACTACAACCACCATGAGCTTCAAAGCAAAAGACCTCCATTTCGGTAAGTTTGTATGTACCGCAATCGTATCGTTCGCTAAGTCGCCACAGATAGCTCACAGCCAGCCTTCTTACAGCGGCTGCGCGGGCAACTCACCAGTGGAGACACAGCCCGTCATGAACATCCAATCGCGCGGAATAAGAGGATGAAGAAAGACGACGACGAAGATGATGCGCCTACCTATGTCATGGAAGAGACGAATCAGTCGCTGAGTAAAGAGGAGTACGATGCGCTTGTCTCAGGCAAAGACGACAAAGAGGGAGGGGAGCCGGCTGCAGACAAGGCTGGAAAGAAGAAAGATGGTGATGAGATGTCGCAATCCAAAGATAAGATTGCTGAGGTTGGTGCAGTCTCAAAGAAGCGCAAGGCGGCAAAGATCATCGGGGATGACCAGGACGAGAGCAAAAAGGGGGAAGAGGCGGATGTTAAAAAGCCAGAAGCGAAGCCAGCGAAGAAACCGAAGAAGAAGTCCAAAGCTGTGAAGCTCACTTTTGGTGAAGATGAAGGCTGAAGACGGTCGCATGTCAACTGTTGGACATCACCCACTTGTGAAAGGCGATGCATCGATTCCCAAAGCTATTTTGGTTTCTCTACCTGACGCCAGTATTATATCAGGCTGCGCGAGACCATTGGATTTGCCGGTTCCTCGTGGCAATAATCGCTTTCATTCATCTGCAACTTCCCGAGGTCCTCGCGTGGTCATGCAGACTGGTCCGCAATGGACAGCATCAGCGACGCGATGCATATGGCGCAAAGGGAAAGGGGAAGCTCAAGCTGAGTCGTGTGTACTCTAGCATAAAGCTGACTTTAGAGCACGGAATGTCGCATACGAGGGCTACGAGCTTCCAAGGCCCTACCTTTCAAGATGCTAGTGAGCACATGGGGCAATATAGTGAGATTAGCACATGTCAATTTTGATCGTGACGGTATACCATTACTTCTCACCTACACACTTTCGATCTCATTTTGACTAAGCTTTGCAGCATGTCATGCCTGACTTATCACAGTGGCCCTTCGTGGTTAAGAGGCAAGATCTCAAGATGCTGCCAAGGTCGGAACGTTCCGATCGGAATGCGGACCCAAGCGCTCGGGACTCCACAAGGAAGTTGAAGCCTCCTGCATGCGGTTTCCCTTGTCCGTCCACAGTTCTGCCATGCAACATGGCGAAATTTTCGCTCGAGGTAATTCACACAATTACCTGTCCCATCACCTTTCTCATCCATTCTCCAGGACTTTGACAAACACATCGAGAACCTACGCGCGCAACTCCTGTTTCTCAATGAGACACTCGATGCGACGGATCACAATGACCCCGACTGGTTGGCAACGGACTTGATCTCACTGCGAAACAAGTCGGGGAGGTTACAAGACGACATGAAGAGATTCAGGGACCAGCTCGAGGACGAAGGTCTGGCGGAAAAGAAGAAGGTATGCTGTGCCGTTTGCGCACGCGATGCCGAAAAGCTAACAAGCGACAGGTCAAGACTTCAAACAAGCGTCTTAGTATCGAGGGCGCGAAACATGCCTCTGAAACACCAAATGCGCAACCCCCGAACTCCAACCCGCATGCCATATCTCCTCTCGTGGATCAATCGCCCACACCACGCGCAAAGCGAGCCAGAATCCAAGACGACTACGTGGTTCAACATGTCGATGTCACCGAAGAAGTGAATAAGCGATTACAAGAGAGCCGTTTGCGGCGCTTGATGCAGACGCCGAGCACTGCGCAGAAGCGGAAATTCGATGCATACGGGGATGGACCCAGGTCAGACGGGCCGGCTGGGAAAGATGAAGAAGGGCAAAGAGGTGGACAAAGTGGGAGCGAGTACGAGAGAACCCCAACGAAACGGCTGAGGAGTAGTGGAACCTTTGAGCATCTAGGAAACAGAACAGAAGACAGGCCAGGGAGGCAGAGTCCACGCTTTGAAGACAGAGTCGACGTGAAGAGGAGGAAGTTCCAACGATAATCAGCGAGAGATTTGCGCGTCTTTATGAGGTCGATTATGCATGATCGGGGCAGAATGGGACAACGGCGTCACAGGCATGGAAAGGCGAAAACAGCATATCAATAGGCGCATTTGAATCATGAGCAGTTTAAACCAAGTCACCTTGTGCACTGAGTACTGTTCGCGTGGCTTCAGATCTCCGCAGCACCTCCGCTCCGAAGGGGAAGCTGCAGCCGAGGCGGGAGCTAGCCGCCGTCTTTGCATCATTGAACTTTTTGACATTGCGACCACCGAACTACTCTGACATCACCCCTGCACTCTACCTGCTCAAACTCCTATACGCGCAATAAATCTACTCCGACACTCGCTGCCTTTTCAGAATCGACTGGGCGCACACATACTCCAAGATGGCGACACCGAACTCCGTCCAAAATATGCCCATCCCACCAGAAGAGCGCCTCGCTCTCGAACAACAAGCCCGATACCAGCGCATAACACGTAACCTAGCCATCGGCGGCCTCGTAATATGTCCAATAATAGCCATACTCCCACCACGAAAACTAGACCTCTATACATTCTCTCTAGGCATCGGCTTCTACCTCTCCGCCGATCATCTCATCACACTACGAACAGGCCGCGGCCTCGTACAAAACCTCAGTCCAGTGCGAGCCATGGACCTACCGACCGAACGCGCAAAGGAGATGCAGAAGATATTGCAAGAGGAAAGGGAAAAGAGTCGGAGGACACTGGAGCGGAAGGAAGGGCAAGAAAAGGGTATACTTGGGAAGCTGTGGATGGGTGATGAGGAGGAGGGTTGGAAAGAGCGGCGATTGGAGGAAGAAAAGAAAGCCATTGAAGAAGGAAAGAGTTATGGTGATATGATATTTGAACAGATTTGGGAGGTTTGGAATTGGGACAAGAAGAAGGGAAAGGACGGCGAGAACAAGAAGGAGTGAACACGTCTTTGGGTCTGCAGAGCCGCATTCTCTTGTATAACACGAATGTACGATATCGCCTTTGGGAAGGACTGCCATCCATTGTGCCCTACGTTAGGGTCTCCGAGGCCGACCAGTTGCGGGAACACGTTTATGAGGTGATGACCTAGATGTCTTAACGAATACAGAAGACCTGAATCATTGACAGCAAAGTGTCTTGAGTCAAAAAAGGCAATCAGTGAATTGTCTCTCATACAGAGCCTTTAGATGCGATTCGGATCTGCAACACTGTTGCGAGACAATCGATGCGCAGTGCAGCTGACTGGCGAAATCAATTTCTGACAAATGTCTCGAGCATGTCGCAACTAATTCTCTACTTCCCATTACAGCAAATAGTCCTCCTATGACAAGATAGCCAAGGATTACGCGAAACGAGCCTGAGCACTGACTGTATGCACAGGAGCCATGTTTGCCTATCGACCACGTACTCAACGTAGGCATCCGGCCATTGGCCTACTCCAGCGCCACCATCTATGCTCACCAAACTCACCGCGTCTACCTGTTTCAGCTCAGGCCAACAGAAGGACCAAACAGTAATTATATCTAGACATCGTTTACGCAGCCTCCCATTTCCTGTGTAACATCCTTCCCGTATCGACAGAGCTACAGATCTCGGTAACAGTACGCGCTTTACTCATTACTGCAATCCTACTGGGAACCTACAGGATGTCTCAGCCAAACACGCCACTCAGTCACGCAGCCGCCGATCTGTTCCTTCCATCCATGAACGAGGAGCAACAGCTCTCTCAAGCCGACTTCAACGAACTATTCGGATCAGATGGCTCAGGGCAGCCTATCTTCTCGACGAACAACAGCGATATACTCGATGACTTCGGTCTTACATATGGAGACGGCGCTTTTTCAGCTGTTGACTCACCAAACACCTCTACAACTTCGACTCCCGACTTCTCAAATTACGACTTCGGCCAAACCGCCGCGGCATACCCGACTCCCGGACCAAGTACACCCCATCCCTACCCGCTAGATCTGCAACGAACCTTCCCAACAACAACTGATGATCCAGACCTCAACGATCACCCTCGGCCTATGCGATCTCACACAAACCATGCCTACCTCCATTCAGCACACCCATCGCAAGGCTACGGTCGTCGTCGATCTTTGAGCACCGGCGATACAGATCGCATTGCCGCAGCCAACAGCATCACCAATCCCACTTTCGTTCGGCTCCAAGCGCCGCGTGCGAGATCAGCCACACCAGAACACAAGAGAAGGCATGCCGCGCTCTTCCAACATGGAAGGAGTGTGAGTCAAGGTCCGGCGCCGAGAGGAAGACCACTCAATCCAACGAGCATACCGTACTATACATACAACGATACATTTGTCGCCGACATGTTCTCTACTCCTATCGGTACGCCGCTGAACGAGATGAGAGATCGCCGGGATCTGAAACATGGCGCTGGTCACAACAGTGCCGGCATGACAGATGTTGCAGTTCGCTCGGATAACCCAGTCATTCGGCATATGACACGACCTGATGAACTTGCACGAAGCAGACGGATCATCGAGATTGGCGCTCTAGCGGTTGCCAGTCACTTGACGCTGGATCCTAGACTTGGGCTACAAAGTCCGACCACAAACCGCGCCCAAATTCTCAAGAAGCTCGCCGATATCGAAGAACATTTGGAAGACAAAGAAGCAAAGGAGGCTCTTTCCGCGTGTAAGACGATCCGAGACGCTTTGTCGAAGAGGATTGAAGCTGAGTTCGTCGATACAGTAGACGAGGTGGCAGAAGAATATTTGGAGGCTCCCAGTAAAGTACTTGAAGGAGCGCAGTATGGTATGTACGACGGTCACGATGACAACGAAATCATGGGGTTGTTGATGAGAGAGAATGGCGTTGATTGCCAGGAGACAGGATAAAATTCATCGAAACGTTCAAGACCGATAAAGCTGGGCGTCGAGGGAATAGACGCGAGGCGTAGCGCGATTGGGTCGTTATCGAGCGGAGCGTATACATGGTTGATTTTGGGCTATACATGATGTGAATAAATACCTAGGTACCTCTGATGCACAAGAAACGAGTTGTGCTGTACATTGGTTCTTTAAAATCATGCCTGACACAGAACCTCATATCCCGATGCTGCTGCAAATTCGATTGGCAAACAGCGTCTTACTTCTGTGAAGACTGGGAGCGATGTGAGTGCTGCATCTCGTATTCCAAACACGCTAGCTCGCGACTTCACATGACGACCCGTGGAAGCCGCCCCACCCGCCCCAGCTTACATACAGACCCAGCCACATAACCTCAAACGTGTCAACACGGGTGACCCTACTACAATTCATCATCGTGCCTCTCATCATGATATTCCGAATAGCGCCTCTCGCTGCGATTCTCGCGTTTGCGCGATGCGGAGCTGCTGAAGCCGCACCGGAAATTACGACAGTTGCGGAGGGCTACAACGTGATTGCCAAGATCCCATGTGTTGGGTGCCCTTTCCTATACCAAGACACATCAAAAGGCAACGATGCGCCGTGGGCTCAGAGAAAAGACGACAACGCTCTGGTAAACCATCCCTACTGTCAAGGAGACCAAATCGCCCGCTAACGTGCCTCAGCTTCTGAACATCTCCCTTCCCTACGACTCAGCGCATCTAAGCATCAACAATGCCCCACTTTTAGGAGACTCCAAGATTCTACCAAAGGTATACGTTAACCAAGTCTTGTTGGACACATCGAAAGATGATCTCGACAAGCTCGTCGCATCTGATCAACTCGACAACGTTGGGGGCGCTTACTTTGGCGCTTCATATGCTTACTCCCTGCGCCACGTCAAAGACTCCAATGCATTAGTGTTGCACTTCGATATCATGCAATTGTGGACTGATCTGACTTCTCCGGATCTCACAATCGTCATGGATAGGAAAGAGCAGAAGATTCTGGAACTCGTCCTCCTGCAGCGTCCCCTGCTGTCCGCCGGTGACCCAGCAAGCGCATACGAGATTATTCGCGCTGCACTCATCCCGCGCGCACAGTCAAGCATCAATGGCAAACGAATACAAAAAACGGCAATGTGGTTCCACGATTGGGACGACAATGGCAAGAAGGGTACAGCGAATCATGTTGTCAACTCGGCTTCTGCGTCCTTTGTAACCTGGCTTAGTTCCGGTATCTGGTCCCTATTCATCTTCATCCTCGCAGTCATGGCGCTGTTTGTTGTCGTGTGCATGTTTTGCATATTTGGTTGTGGATGGCACAAAGATGAGTATGAAACAGCACAACATGGAAAGCGCAGCAGTGGGAAGGGTGCTTGGGGCGGAAACGACATTGAGGCCGTGCGGAGGTTCATGACGCCTGAAGAGCTGGGACTCCGAGGCAGTGGGAGGGTTGTGGGGGTTGGGAAAAGCGATTGATGGACTGCGAGATGAAGAGCCATCATCCAGTCTGTGATCCATCCTGATTGACTTCCTTCCCGACCTCGGCTCGATCCTCGTGCTTTCGATGCGCGACCACTTTCATTATCATCGTCGTGTTCTTGAAAGTCTCGAAAAATCCTGCTGGAGAGCCCACTTGGCAATGGCACATCACGTTCCCGACCGCTAGCGCGTCACCGTCGAGCCCACAAACAAGAACACCCCTGGGCAGATCATCACGCCAGCGAACACATCTCCCGCGCTCACACCTCCACGATGGCACTACCATGACTGCGACGATCTTCGGCGGTCCAAGCCAAATATCTCAAATAATCGTTCACGCAAAACGAAAAAGCAACCGGCTGCGACGGCCATGTTGCTTCTGCTAGCGACGCGCGACGTCATTCCGTTACTCTCCGCGCGCCGCTAAACGTCATTCACCCAAGCTCATTTCAACGTCGCGACTCGCACCGAACCCTTTCATTGCTCGATCTCCACAGAGACCACAGTTAGTCACATGGCTAATTCCAGGCCAGGGAGCTGTTGGTCTCGATGCGCGTCAACGTTGGTAAAGTTTGACAGCAGTTCATCGCAAGGCATCGTCATGGTCTGGGCTCGTGAGGTATGACCGCATAGGTTCGGTTGATATGATAAAGACCCTCAAGTTTGCATGTTGGTGGAGTATCATCAGTATAGTAATCAATTTCATCACTTAATTCACAAGGGTGCTGTCCTGCACACCCACCGAACACGCACAATGGCCATCACCAACACCACGTCCACCGTCCAGGCAATTTTCGCCCTCCATGTCGTTACAGCAGGCGGCTCCATTATCCTCATTCTGGCCGCTCTTGCGTTGTTCGGTCGTCAACTTGTCGGCGGCCCTGGACGTCCCCGTACATTCAAGAAGTTCAACAGGTCAACTCTGAACAGGCACAGGTACACCAATTCATGCCCCTTCTTTCCAATGCCAAGTTAGCTAACACACAACAGCTCCACGGGCACTCAACTCTTCCTCATCACGGGTCTCACCACCCTCATGATCGCCTACGCCGCGCAATCCTCTATCGTGGCCCTTCAGTCCCGCCTCCCATCCCCCTTCTACATCACCTCCGCCTATGCCTACCCCCAATACACCGAACCCTTCGGCAACAACGACTCCATCAAGTATGGAAAAATCATCTCCATCCTCTCTTTCACCTACCAAGGCGCCATGATCATCATGAACGCTTGCATCGTCGGCGCCATCTGGATCCACGCCAACCACGTCCAGAACAACGGCACTGGCATCAAGGAGCCTGGTGTCCTGTCTTGGGCTTTGAACGGCTTCTGGATGCTGGCTATCCTTGCTCTTGGCTTTGCTAGCTGGGCTGTTGGTCTTGCGCGCCGCGGTAGTGGAAACTCGGCATTGGCGTACCCCAGTCTTATTGCTGTCGACTACATGGTGAGGACGCTTTACGTTGTTTACGTAGCCACTGTCATCGCTGCGTCGACAAGTGCTACTCTTGAGGCGATCCTGTGCTGGATTGGTATCAAGAAGAACGGTGTTGTTGGTGTAAGTTCACTCCCCTTCTTCCTGTGCAAAAGCATGTACTGACGAATCCTAGAACCGCTCCAAGTCAGCCCTCACCCGCTTCGTCATGCTCGTCACCCCCATCGTCTGGGTCCGCAACGCCTTCTCCATCGCCCAACTGGTCCTCATCTACCGCAACACAAACAACTACTCGCGCACCACCAACCAGGCCCTCGCTTTCCTCTTCATCATTTTCGGGGAGCTATGTGACCTCGGTATCTTCGCCCTTGTTCTGCTCGGCGCCTGGAGCTTCGGCCGCAAGGATAACCAGAGGCCTGAGGTTGTCAAGGAGGCTAGGTACAGCGAGAGCATGAGGGATAGCACTTACGTTGCCAACCCTAATGCTGCTTATGTTGTCGACCACGATACTGCGTATGTCGATGGACCTGCTGGACCTGCGTTTGAGGCGGGTAGGGGTCCTACTTACATTCCTCACGTTAACTAAGGGAAGGATGGATGATGTTGTACGATATGCGTGGAACGTTTGATGGAAATGATTTTTGAAGCGTTACAAGCGTATTAGCGGATCTTTAAGTAAATAATTGTTAATGAAATACACTTTAAAAAGCCCCGTCCCTGAATCTGCGCATATGGTAGGCCGAACTAGCTATCCTCCTCCTCTATGGTCTAGAGCAGGCTTCAACAGGTACTCCACTTTCAGACGAAATCAGATGAGTTCGAAAATACGAATCTGTCAGAAGAAGGGCTTTCTGATTTGATTACGACAATACTGTTTGAGCGGGCACGCTTCTTTGCCACACGTTTTCTTGGGACACGGCGGGGCGGGGGAGTACAGTCGCTAATCCTGTCCCGTAGATGTTAGCAGATGTAGGTATATAATTAAATAAGCATCTTACCTTTTGGAACTCTCTTTGTAGCAAACCCGGTCTTCATGGCAGTGGTACAAGCAAGGTTCATCTTTCGCACGATCGGAAGGGCCAGAGCCGTCAAGGTGGCAGCGATAAGAATTCCCGAGCGAAACCATCGCAACGAATCTGTCGGGAAATAACTGATAGTTGTTGGCCCAGTATTCATAGTCTGTGTTCCAGACAGTGTAGTCTGCGATGAACTTTCGAAGTGGATTGTTGGCATCAGTGCGGTTGAATACAGTTTGGATGATCTCGGAAAGCAGTGTGGCAAAATCGTCGGCGTCGGCTCTGTCTCCCCATTCCATTAGGGAGTCCATGAGTGTGTCCCTATAGTCATCGTCGTCGAGGTGGCATCCAAGAAGGTAGCCCTTGATCAGTTTTCGACCTTCATGAACCACCCTCGAGAGACCTTCAGCTTCCATAAGGACGCGTTCGGTGTACAGCCATTGAACGTAGATCATGAAGTCTTTTGGCTGGTAATCTGTGAGGACGATCGGGCCTTCCTTATTCTCGCTGTCGTCCGCTAGCAAGTTCGCATCGATTAGAGCTGAAGATTCTCGGATAAGCTTTGCGTGGACCGTGAAATCTTCGTGGTCGGGTTTTATGCCGACGCTGATGGTGATGACGCGAGTTCCCATGCTGGTTCATGTTAGTAGAGTCGGTAAGATGCGCATCTTGTACTTACCACAGCAATTTGCTCTCAGGATACAGCGGCATCGTGGCAGTAAAGCGCTTCGCGTGCGAGCGCGGTGACGAGGATATGGCGCAGACGTGTGCAAGTGGAAGACGCGATCTAAGACAAAGAGACACGGTGACTGGAAAGGTCTAGAGCTCTAAGAAACATTGGAAAATCCGAATTAGGCAGCCGCGCGAGGTGAATGACGTAGTGCTGGCCGAGAGTTCATGTGGAAGGGAAGGAGCGACTAGCTTTTCTCATCTCACTCTCACATTTGTATGGTGAACCGCTTCTGACATCTCGCTCAAGTATGCGGTGTTATGGTTGCCTGTATCTACGAATTGGATACAGCGTACGTTCCCAATTCCACCTCATGTGTCATGATGCGCGTGATATCCTTATCCTTCCATACGACCCACGCTAGGCATTCAGTCACGCCCAATCCTCGTCAGTGGAAGCAGACAGTGTACGATTGACGCAATTACACGCCATATACAGGCCATTCTCAAGCACGTCGCTTTGCGTCTGATGACTGGGCGTCGTCGGGAGCTGGGCGCTTCGTTGTGATAACGCGAGACCTAGACCCTGTCAGCTGTGATTGTTGCGTGAGCAGAGGATATTACGTACGTGTCGGCTTTCTTCCTGTAGCAAGGCTTCTCGTCGCCATGACAGTGGTACTTGCAGCTCGTCTCCCACCCGTCAAGTGGTGACTTGCCGCGCGTGCTCGGAACAAGCCGTCTAGTCACGGCGATAAGTAGATCCATCATGTAATCAGTGTTCACGGTATCTCGTTCCTTTTCCATAGCAGGGAAATGAAACTCCTGTATTTCCCAGGCTGCGAGGGCTGTGACAAGTTTTCTAGTTGGCGACTGGTCCGGTGTCTTATGGTAAAAGTCCGAACCAAAATTTGGTGGGAAACGGCCGCCGCGACTACGGTGTATTTCGACAGTGCATTGTATGAGAACATCGTTGAGAGTGTCTCTGAAGTCAGTGTCGAGTAAGTAGTGGCCTAGATCGGATAACTTAGGCAACAGGAGCATCTCCGTGAATAAGGGTAGGGCAGGATCATTTCCATCGGCGAGGTAGGATTTGCTGTGAACGACGCCTGTAACAAGCCACTGGAAGTAGATACCGAAGGTGTGTATGTCGAAATCGGGTAGGGTAATGACCCGCTCTTGCGATTCTTGCCACGGTCCTCTCATCGCTGCGTCAACGAACTCGGACGAGGCACGAATGCGGTCCTCAGGAACCAGGAACACGGCCTTGCCTCCATGACCAACTTTGAAGGTGATCATGTTCTTCTTCGTACTGCTCGTTGTTAATTCGTTGACGTACGCAACTCTGAATCGTACTTACAAGGCAGCGTCCGCTGCGAAACCCCTCCGTACCATAGTGAGTCCTGTAGCTCACTTACCGTATGCGAATGGTTGTTGGAAAGTGGAAACTGTGTGGTACTAGGAAGTTTGAGATGTCGGGAGTACAGGTGCCGCAAAGTGAGAGCATGTCGCGCCTTCCGTGGCCACTGACCTCACCAATCATCTCTCACCTCACCACCTGCACCGGCACTATTACGCCTACGACGGACGATCTTTGCACGGATGATCAACAATGGATGCATTTCAATACGCTCGCTCGCTAAGACAAACAATAGACACAAGAAATAATAAATCGCTCAACGACAGAAGCGCGCGCCATAATAACGCGCACGCTGGGTATCTTACAAACATCCAAAAGGTCATGCCATGCCCGGCCGTATCCAGAAGGAAAGAAAACCTTACCAATCATTCCACGTCTCGAGACCGCATCAAGCGACCTAAAAGCCTCAAGCATATGCTCCTACCCGGTCATCGCCATGGAAGAACCCACTCCCATCGAACCCTTCTTCCTTCGGCGTGGCCCACACTTCTGGCGAGACGTCATCGTAGCTCGGCTTGCGGGCCAGGTCTTCAGAGTAGACGCTCGCGTCGTCGTTGGCCCAGCGCTGGTTCCGGTCGTGGCTGGTCTGGCCGTAGACGACATTGCGGTCGTGCGCTGGAGCTCGCGGTGTGGAGCAGCTTATTCGCTGGTCGCCTTCACGCGAGATGATCAAGGTGTCGGGCGAAGGAGTGGGATACGATGGCGATGTTGCAGTCGCCGAAACGATGAGCTTGTTCACCAGCGCATGCAAGTCCGACACATCGTGCTGCAGAGTGCGAACCTGCTGTTCCAAGGCCTTCCTCGCGCTCCTCTCGTGTCTAAGCGCCTCATAGACGTTCCGCAGCGCTCGCGCAGTCTCCTCGTTACTTCCAGTGTGAGGAACGGGAGGTGCGGCAAGCGTTGGAGAACCAGGCGCAGGCTCGGGCTCAAGAGTCTCACTACTTGATTGGACGATGAGCTCTTGATGAATGCTCGGTGCTGATCTTGAGTGAGAGCGCGATGCAGATGCAGACGAACTCCGGTTCCTTGATCGCAGGTTGCGAGGTGCGTTTTCGAGGATGATGGTTTGCCGGTTGTTACGGGATGACATCCGGCGGGTGAGTGTTTCGAGATTGGAGTACCTGGATTCAAGATCCTGAACGCGATCCTCAATGGGTATGCGATGTTGGCTCTTCGCTGGTGGCGGAGGCGGCGGCGAAATGCTTCGGACTTGCGGTGATTCTGGGATAGTTTCTTCCTTGGGTCCAAACAACGCATTCTTCAGGTCACCGAAGTTGAAGGCTGAGACTGGGGGCTGAACACTACGTTCTTGCTCGCGGTTTGGCTCTTCCGTAATCGGCGTCGCGGTCTGCGATTCGTCCGCTTGAACGAGCGTCGCGCTCATCTCGTTGAACGACTCGTTGTCTGGTTCTCGGATCATGGGCTCTTGCATCGGCACGGTGCGGACCGTCTCTACAGTCTTCGCTGTTTGCGGTCTACTATAGATGCTGCCGGACATGTAGCTCTCCCTCCAGAACTTGATCTCCGCACTCCTGCCTCTCTCCGTCGAGGCGCGCTCTTTTGCGAGATTGTGAAGAGCATCTGCACTTCTTGATCTCCGTCTGTCGTGTTTGGACGTTACTGTTTGAGTCGGGCTGGACAGTGCGATACCGATACCGGGAGACATCTCATCTTCTTCAGCCTGTTCATCCCACGCTGCTAGCTTTTCCCGAGGCTCGTCGAAACTGTGTCGATGAGTAATGGCACTTGGTACAGTGGGCAGCGTGGCTCTTCGGCGACCGAGATCCGGCCTGTCCGTATCGAATGTAAGGTACTCTTTCGGCGGACTTGCCGGCGGCGCATTTACGTTCATGGGGTACGGGAGATGTTGGCCTAGCGGATGTAATGGCTGTAGCTCCTCCACTGGCAGATCAGATATCCGAGGATTGAACGGGGGTGTCCTTGGTTCTCTTGGTGGTGTTGATCTCAGCATGGTAGTGTCCTGTTCTTCGTCAGATTTCATTCGTCATGCTGTTCTAGACAAACTCACACTATGGTGGTAGCTGTGGCCACGCTGCATTGGCTCTTCTTCCAGATCATCCGCTCGGTCCGGGCCTTTTCGCCCGAACATTTTCCGGAACACATTTCTGAGACCGCTCTTGCGCTTGTTCTTCTTCTGCGCAGCTTTGCCGGCGCTCTCTGGCGTCGAGCGAAACGGCGACGGGGAAGCGATCGAAGTCGATGGCACAATGCTTTCGCGCTGTACTTCGTCCAAGTGTCGCACTCTTGGTGGGGATCGCGAAGAAATCGGGCGCTCGGGAGCAGCCGAATCGCGCTGTGGCTGCTGCTCTCCCACAGGATTTGATCGCAAGGCTGACATATGCTGTTCAGGCACAGGCGGAGGAGACTGAAGTGGTCTTGGCGGGGTTTGCGGCCTTTCATACTGCTCTTCTGGCGCGTCCTGCGGCTGCAGTGTGCGGTCCAGCGCGCCATTTTCCGCGTACTCCTTCTCTTCCTCTTCATTCAACGGCACATCCTCGGTAATAGGGATCGGCCCGCTAATTTTTAAGTTCCCTCTTCTGATAGCCTCAGCCTTCCAGCTGGAGCGCTCTAGAGGCGAGGGTGAGGGCGTCGACGCACTCATATCGGCGACGACAAAGCCTTCTCTTTGAAGCATATGGATGCTGCGATGTTTTGGATTCCGAGTGTTGGCGAATGCGCTTCTGCGGACGAGTTCTGGAAATTGCGCTTAGGCGAGGTTTACCGGGATGACCCAGCGAGCGTGAGGATCTCGACTACCATCACCGATGTTGCGAAAGCAGTTGATGGATAAGAAGCAAAGCAAAGGCGGACCGGAGCGACAAGCGCGGCAAACGTCCCTCCTCCGAAAATAGATGCAAGGCAAGAATAGGCAATAAGGAATTAACAACGATAGCCCCCAAGACTCGAAAGAAGCGAACTCGATCAGAAAGAGCGACGAGGTTAAACAATAGAGAGACGTGCCACAGACGACGTAACGAGAAGAGCAGCAAAAGAACGGGGGGCGGCGCTCTTAGGGTCTATGTATCAGACCGAGAGCGTCATGTACCCTTTGGACAAGGGTGCCAATAGAGTGGGGAGGGTCAGTCGGATGGGGGGCGCGGCGGGAAGGAGGAGGCTATTATTGATGGCGCATTTGCGAATCAAGCAGTATGACCGGCATTACCTTTGACCACAACACAACGGGGGCTGGGGGGCTGCAGCAACAAATAAAGGCCTGATCGCTGCTGCACAAGCGTTGCATGAGAGGCCAACAAGTCGGACCACTGCGCGAACGAACGACGTGCAGGTTGTTGGCGATGGGGCTGTGGGGTTTTGCGTCCAGTACAGCTGCATGTTTTCGCCAAAGCGGACTGTTGCAATCGATACGTTCGTTGGCTGCAGCACGGCACGCGCAGGCGCGCTCGGCCACTGTCCTCTTCAGCCCTTCTGAAACATGCGGCTAACACGTCTTGGACCTCAGCTTCCCTGTCGGCCTCTCAAACTTACCACTCGTCCAGAACCGCCATCTCAAATCCCAGTAAAGCCGTCGCAGAGCTAATCCTTCTGCGTCTACAAATAGCGGCTTGCAGCACTGACCGAGGCGTTCCACGAACCCTCCTCTTGTCGCGTCAGGTCTGAGCGCGAGAAGACATGGGGTCGCCAGGACGCATGTCATGTCATGGACCCTCGGCCGTGCAGACTAACAGGAACCCCTGCTCCAGCCTGCATTAACGCGTTTGAGGCTGTCCGCGGACTAACTCCGACGACGGCCTGATTGGAGCTGATTACTCTGGCCCACACCACACCGTCTATCACGACTGTTTGGTACTCTACTGCACGCGTTACCTGTTGACGATGTACGTTGATGTAAACATGATTAATAGGGGAGGCTGGTCGACAGTAGCCGAAGGGTCTCGAAAGACGTTGACAGAAGCGACGTCGCAAGCGCTGGGCGCCGTTTTGATGAAGTTTCCGGCCTGCGCTGATTGCTCGATAGTATTGCGCCATGTATTGATGGTCACGACTCGCCACCACACACACTTTATCCTGCGCGACACCGTTCAGCATAAAGAGTTTGAGCGAATGAGCGCATTACTCGCTGTCAATTCTGCGAGCTCTTCTCTTCTGGCCCTTCTCGTTTCTCTTTTGCGCATATATGTAATCGCATGCATGCTTCGCCGTCTTACCACCGTAGTCTCATGCCGCATGCCACTTTGGCGATGACATTCGGCGTATGTAGGTGTTTTGGCGCGAGCTGTCTCGACTCGCGACTTTGACGCGGGACTACTGCAGCTAAAATCACGCCGCATACCATGGCTGCAGTATCGCGCTTCGCTTGCGAACCAAACCATAGCGCTGAGACCATGTCCTCCCCACACCACTCCAACATGTAGTAGCGAACCACAACTCCGACATTGTTTGTTTGGGAGCCCGTGACAGCGCATGTGTTACAGCCTCGCTTGCTTACACCCCTCATCCGCCGTTTTCTTGGTCCACGTAGACGTCTGCCAAGTTCGGATACCTGAGATCGGCGTGGTCTTCTAGATGCTGCATCCAGGCTTTTAGAAACTTGGAGCCCCTGTGAATCAATCAAGTCAGCAACAATGCACGGCGCTGTGGTGTGACGAGCGTATAGAATCCTCCGCCGTATAACAGGGTGCCGAGGGACTGGTCTCGGTGTGGGTGACGAAGGGTTCCCGTGTGACAAAGCAAGGGGGCGTGTCACGGCAGTTTCGAGTTACGCGGGTTTCAGATTTGCTTGTTCGCAAAGACCACGTCCCGACGCCCACGTTCTCGGGTATGACCGAAGTCCGCGACTCCGCGATGACGATGAGGTATCGGCTATACGACCAACAAGGAAGGCCAGTGGTGCTGGGGACATGAATTGGGAATGAAGAGGGTACGTACTTGCTTATTGTGTCTGAGTCTCCGATCACACAAAGATGTCGCTTTGGGCGTGTCATTGCAACTGCGC